CAAAAGAAAGAAACAAAATATCAAACTGTTCGTCGACGCGCAAGAAGCTTCGTACTAAGACTAACCACACGGATCGTACCGTTCTTCCCTATACCCTCTTCCCGCTAACTCGCCTATCGGCCATCCTCCGTCCCGTCGTCCCGTCGTCGAGGGATCCTCCGGTCCGCAGGACGTCACGAGGTGGACGAGGACGGAGGAGCGAATCACCGAGCGCTCGGACTCGGTAAAAACAGGGGCAAGGACGGGGACGCGCTCGAGATGGATCAGCGGTATCCGAAGCGTGGGAAACGACTGGACGTCGTCCCCGTGGATACCGAGTGCAGTGGGACCTACGTGCATGGGCCAGAGGCCCGGAGGAGAGGGGACGGAACGATGAGGTCACTTTGGAAACGAGATACGACAGACAATGGTACACGGTGTACACGGTGCGTTCGGGGGATTTTGATAAGGCCCCCGACGTCACGGACGGGAATAGCATGTACGTGCAATAAGTGTCTTATGCTTTTGGACTGTACTCACGAGTGGCGCAGTAGTCCCCCTTCCAGCCCGACAGGCAGACCTTCTCGCCGCTTTGGCTGCAGCTGTAATGCCCAAAACTGTCGTCCCTGGGACGACAAAGATTTTCGCATCCCTTGCCGTAGTAATGGGCGACACAGGTGACTCGATACTCGTAGGACATGCTGGAGTGGTCGCTGCGATGCTCGTCCTCCATCCAGGTGGGCCCTACGTCCAGCCATTTTTGCGTGGTCAACCTGGCGATCAGGATATTCTCTGTAAGAAGAGAAACAAACAAAAGGGCCCAGGTGAGTCGTTGTGTGTTTTCTCTGGGAACAGAAAAGGGCCTTCTTCATTTTTTACTCTTTTTTCTTTCTTTCTTTTTTTCTTGCTTTTTTTTTTGTCTCTTATTCGACTCGCGCTGGGTATATCTGTCTGGCGGTAAGGCCGCTTCCTAGGGCATTATCATAATGGGGGCCCCGATTAGACGTTGCCTTATACACGGTGCAGGATAGCTCTATACAGATATAGAAGCCGCATCGAGTTGCGAGCGCAGCGCATGCATGCTGTATAAATGGCAAAAATCGTCTCACGCTTTTCGCCTTGTTCCCCCAAAATTAAGAGGGCCCAACCGGAGGAACCACCGTTTAACGGGAGGAACAGGCTGGTTCCCTACCGAAAAGTGGGAACGGGAGGAATCAAGTGGAGTATATAGACGGGCCGAGATGGCGTGTCGGGGATACTTAAAAAGCAAAGGGCAGGGGAGGAGGGGCCTCACTCGTTCCAAGAAGAAGAAGAAGAAGAAGAAGCGAAGTAAGAAGGAAACGATAAAGTCAGCTAGCAATTTTAGCAGTATTATGGCATAAGGAACCTTCGGAAAGAAGTAAAATGGGTTATAACAGTATTGGTAGCGGAGGCAGTAAGAAACATAAAAAACTGAAAAAACTTTAGAAAAAGAAAAAGAAATGAATGAAAAAAAGAAGGAGGTTAAGTCCTCTCGCATTAGAAACAGTAGTAGGAACGCGGGACCTACGGGGCCTCACAGGTGCGTCCCAAAACGTAACGCTCGCTCGCGTGTAATACAATTACCCCGAAGGAACGTCATACGTGCTCAACGGTCCCAGCGTTAGACGGGCTAGGACCCACCGGAGGCCCCGAGAGGCTTATAAAGACCGGATTAGGAAAAATCCAACAAAAATTTCAGAGGCCCCGTTCTCTCATGGGAAAGACGAGGAACGACCAAAAAAAGTATACGAGTATCGCTCACACAGACAAACCGATTTGGGGATCAATAAACGAAGGAAAAGGAAAAGAAAGAAAAAAAGTGAATAAACGGCCCAAAGGGTTAGAAATGGAAAAAGGATTGCCAGGAGGGAATTATTCTTATCGTTACCATTATCATTATACAGGGAGTCAACACACGCGGCAGGTGTCTCGTGCATGTACCAACAGCCGCGCATTACTCACGTAAATCTATCGTGCACCTTTTACCCGGCACGTTAGATCGAACCGATGGAACCGAAATTATAAGGCCCCTCTACCGGATTACTCATAGAGATATTGCTGCCGCCAGACTGTCATAATCGGCCGAGCCTCCCAGTCGACGGCACCAGGGACCTTCGTGCGATCCTCCTGCATCTCAGGAGATCATCCACTCGGCCGGGAACCCGTTAGGGCCCAGGATCCGTAGAAGAAGGTGGAAGAAGGCAGAAAGAGTTTAAAGGAGACGGTAGGATGCGGATGCAGTGCGAGGGCAAGAGAGAGAGAGAGAGAGAGAGAGAGAGAAGATACAGGTGATGCACGCGAACTTTCCGGGCCAGTTTTGACCGAGCCGGTGGCCGCGTTTAATTCGGCGCTGCAGGTGTATGGGGCAGAGTGTGGGGCCCAGGGCGAACGGAGTCAAGAAGATACAGGTGATGCACGCGAACAGAAAGAGTTTAAAGGAGACGGTAGGATGCGGATGCAGTGCGAGGGCAAGAGAGAGAGAGAGAGAGAGAGAGAGAGAAGATACAGGTGATGCACGCGAACTTTCCGGGCCAGTTTTGACCGAGCCGGTGGCCGCGTTTAATTCGGCGCTGCAGGTGTATGGGGCAGAGTGTGGGGCCCAGGGCGAACGGAGTCAAGACGCAGGATGGAGGCGAGGGGGGACGGGGCCCCTACCGTACGGCGAAGGAGGAGAATCGGGCCTGAGAAAGGAAGCAGCATCCGAGCAGCGGGCCAAGCGGGCCAATAAAAGGCTCGTTTCGCCGCCGACGCGAGGCGTCCCGGGGGCGTCTGGCCCGCGTCCATAAACACGGTACAGGTAGTCCGAGGTATTGTTGTTGTGTCCCGAGATGCCGCGCGAGGGATGGAAAACCCTAAGAGTGGGCTTTGCGTCTTCGGAGGCCAAACGTGTTAAAACGGAACCCCGGGCGATAAACGTACCGCCGCGATTCATGCGGCATACATTGTGAATTAATGTGGATATTAAATATGACGTCGCGTATGAATTAAAGAAAAAAGAAGAAAGAATTTTTACTACGGAACCCTCCAGTCCTCGAGGATCCTCTCTACCTGCTCCGGCAGGAGTCGCCCGTATGTCCCGTGTAGGAAGGTGCGCGCGCACCAGACCCCTCGCGCGCCGTTCAGACGCTAATTAGAATCGCGAGCGGAAGCAGGGCTGCCAAGCGTGCCGTTGCCGTTGCCGGTAGACGCGCACCAGAGATTCGTTTTACCGACAATTAATTAATTAGCCCTTTACCTGCCGCACTCGTACCACTACACGCGGCCAACGGTACTCGGTGTCATTACGCAGTTGGTAGCAGAGAAAACGGAGAAAGACGATGGAAGAGGAAGAACAAAATAAAAGGAAAGAATGAAATTGACGAGTGAGAGTTGGTATCCCTGCCGGATAACGGAAGCGACGTGAGAGCCTAGGCGGAATACATATATATATAGAGTGGGAGTAAAGTTATTCGAGAAATAGGGCTTAAATGCTCGTGTAAGGGCTCCAAGGATAACCCTTACCCTACACTGTCACTCTTGTTTCTAACCCTAACCTCAAAGCTGCGAGCCGCAGATACGACGAGCCACGCACCCCCGTTAAATCGGAACTCCCCGGAGAGGGTTAATGGCTCGGCAAACTCCCTACGACAAACTGGATACCTCCTCGTGGTTGTCTCTTCAAACAAGTACAGGACACTTGGGGAGCATCGCGCGAGGGATCGAAGTACCGCGGACTCGGGGGAAAGTGCTGTCCTCGCAGTCGGCGATGCCCGCCCTGGAAAACTTTGGCTCCGGGCTCGTCGCGACGGTGAAAACATGCCCTACGTGGACAGTGGAGTGAGTGCTCGGGGCTCCTATAAACCATATAGGATACGTACAGGTTCACGTAGACGGGGATGGTGTCGTGTTACCCTAGTGCCGGTAGGAGGTACTACGGTTACACAGGAAGGAAACACTAGTGCCTCGGGTTGGGCCTCCTATCCTCTTCTCTAACCTATGGCTGTCCTATGTATATAAATATATGTATACATATGTACCCGTATACTCTCTGGATAGGTAGGGAGCAATTTCCGAGCAAGGCAGTACATATTTACCACGTATGTACGTACATAGGGTACAGTGTATAGACGTACGTGCTCTCTCTCTCTCTCTCTCTCTCTCTCTCTCTCTCTCTCTCTCTCTCTCTCGCGCGCGCGCGCGTATCACGGATGGGCGCGCGCCTTTCCAGGGAAAACTACAGCGAGACGAGTCGACGTACTCTGTCGGGTAGTGCCGTAATATTTTATTTGTCTGTTGAAAGATTTTTTTCATAATAATTGAGAATTAGCGAGAGGGGTCTGAAACTGTGTAAAAGGACCCAATTTCGGAAGGATTGATCGGGCACGGAGGAAAAGGAGTTCCTGTGACGTAAGTGCTGGAGCAGCAAGAGACTCGGAAAGGTTTCCGGAGGTTAGGGAGGTTAGGGAGGTTAGGGAGGTTAGGGAGGTTAGGACGAGACCGTCCCGTATCTGGTGAATGTCGCGAGCCCGCCGGAAGTGGCTTCTTGGCTGTCTCGGACCCGAGACCATCACCTAACCATCACCTCATACCCAGCTGGCCTGCACATGCCAGGGCCGAACGCACGTTACCCCCGGGTGCCCCTGGGGGAGCTATACGATAAAAATCCAGCGGGACGCGTGCGCTCCAGATAAAGCAGTTTAAAAAAGTTTCAACAAGACGACAGAACGCACACGAGAGATAAGGGAGAGTTGCGCGGGGCTCCGCATGGTGGCGGCGGGTTACGGCAGTGCGCGGGCTACACGCGGATGAGCTGGATGAGCTTGCGGCTGACAAGACGTGCTTGGGCACTCGGGCACTCGGGCACGCATAGGGATCTTAGCATGAGAATTCGGATGTTGTCGCTTACCGGGCGAGTGCTGCGTCGTGTTGTCGGCCTCGTGGTAAGCTTCCACTATGAGGGAGAAGGTGCCCTGTAACACACGAAGGAACAAAAAATTAAAATCATTACTCAAGTTTCGCGCCAAAATCTTTGAACGCCAAATCAAATAACACATGCACGTCCGCGTGTGGATATCTCGAAGTGGCCCCGAAAGGTGCAGCTGCAAATTCCCTGGCAATTGGTTAACAAATTAGGGCGCGTTTCTGTTTCTATTTTTTAAGGGTTGCGGCATATAATCCAGCGCACGCATGCGCACCCGGCATGCGTTTAGTAGGAAAGGAGAGGGAGAGAGGGAGGGAAAAGAGGAGGACTCGCGCCTGTAAAGTAGACTCGGAAGTGTGCCCCTAAAAAGTACTGCTGGAAGGGGTTGAACGCCGGTGCGAAGGGGATGCCGATAGAAAAGTCTAGGGGAATGCAGCAAGAGGGAAGGAGACAGGAGCAGCCACCCCTGCGCGTGGAACCTTTTCGAAATTGCCAAGGGGTGACTTTTAACGGCGTGCCACCGGATATAAATCGTGCGTGTGCCGGCACGCAGTGCGCGTGGCACGCGACACTGGAAATAGGGAGAAAAAAGGGTAAGAGGAGGAAAGAAGAAAAAAAAGAAAAAAAAAGAAAAAAATTCTCATACTAATTATCAAGATCGACAGTACTCATTATGGTAAAAGAATTTAAAAAGAGCGCAATTATCATCAGCGGGCTGCGAGCAACGAGTAGGAGAAAGATTCCATTGTCGACTGGGAATGACGACCGGGGGCACTGGGGAACTGCGGCAGGTACGTACGGCCCTGTATAATATATAGGTATACACGGCTAATGATACTCCGCTAAGGATATCCTGACAGATCACTCTCGGGATACTACTTATTCTGCGGCTTCTCCTTCTTCTCTCTCGCTCTCCCACGATAGGCCTACGGACGGACCAGACAGAGATATACCGTGCGATAGGTACGGGTGGCGCGTGGGCGTCGTGACGTCGAGACGTCCCTGCAAGGACGAGGCCTGAAGACGACAGAGCCGCGAAGGAGTCTAGGGGCCTTCCCGTTCTGCGCTAGGAACGCTTAATTATTAACTTTGGACCGCGACGTTACACGGCCTCGTTACGCCCGTTGAATAATAAAGGCCGCTTCCGTCGCGGTTCTCTCGCCGAGAACCGCCTGCCGACCCTACGTGCTTTCTCCGGCCTCCCGTATTTAACGCTCCGCAGTCTCTGCGGAGCCGCACGGAGGCTACGTGCTGCCAAGTGGCCAAGTGGCCAAGTGGCCAGCCGCTCGTAGCTCCGTGCGCGCCTGTGGACGGGCAAATTTCCACTGGCAAATTGGCAGGGGGAGATTCGAGGGAGGCCCGGCATGGGATGCTGAGAAGAGCTGGAGCAAGGAATCCAGGGAACGATAGGAAGCCGAGAGGAGGAGGAGGAGGAAGTAAGAGGAAAAAGAAGGAGAGGAGGGCGGGAGGGAGTAAAGGTCGAGGATGGCAAGGAGGCCCAAGGCCTTCCTGCGTGCTTCTCTCTGTTCGTCTCCGTCGCTCGCTGCGCCGGCAGCGGCCAGGAGCCTCGTGGAAAGGTACGAGGCGAAGGAGTCGGGCGGCGAACGCGCCGAGCGGCAAAGGGAACGGGGAGGGTGCCGCGGAGATAAATCGCACGCTAGAGAAATCCCACCGTGGACGCTCGCTAATTTATAACAGGGATACGAATTAAGCCGGCAAAAAGGTGAAAAAGCTTAAAAAGCCGCGGCATCGGGAGAACAATGTAGGGTGTGTTTCGGGATGGAGCTTTGGGATTGATCTCGGCTGAGCCACGTTACCGTGACAGTGAGAGAGAGAGAGAGAGAGAGAGAGAGAGAGAGAGAGAGAGAGAGAGAGAGAGGATAGCGATACATAAAGGGAGGGAGTAGAGGATTCCATAGAGGATGAAGAGGGAAGAGAAGAATGAATGTAGAAGAGAAAGAGAGAGAGAGAGAGAATACTCGGGAGTTGGTTCCCACGGCTGCGCAGCATACTTCCACCTTCCCAGCCTTCTCTTTGCCTCTCTCCGTCCCACTCCAGCCCCGGTCACTCTCTCCCTCTCACTCCTGCTCATTCACTCATTCTCTCTCTTCCTCTCTCCTACTCACTCGCTCCCTCCATTTCTCTCTGCCTGACCAAGAATATTCAGCTCCCCACCACGCCGCTCCGTGCGCACCTTCCCATCTCTATCTGCATCTCTGACAAACCTTTGCATTCTCATTGATCCTCTCTCTCTCGCACTCGCAGCGAGAGCACGCTACCTCCTCTGCTCCCACCAATGGAATCGTTCCGACTACCATCGTCCAGTCGGTAGGTACAGTCGTTCCCTGCTTCTCTCTCTTGCCAAGCCATTCACCGATTCTTCTTTCCCTCTCTCTCTCGCGCGCAAGATACTCCGACTCCTGCCGGTGCACGTAGCCCGGACTAACCGAACCGACAATCACGGGAGTAGCGGGTGCATCCAGTCCCCCCTCTCCCTCCTATCCCCTCGTTCCACGTTACCTACGTGTTAACTCCGCGTCCTCCTTCCACCGAGAGAAAGATGACGCGGCCCTTTGCGAATCTCGAACGATACCCACTGCAACTGCAACTGCAGTTCGCCGGTTCACTGAACATCGAGGAGGATAAATTCTTCGTAACATTGTGGAGCCACCTTTAGGCTCTGCTCTCTGACTTCGCCTGTGTCTAAATACTCGCTCATTAACTTTTACAACCTTCTGCCCTTTTATTTCGTATATACAGCCAGTGGCAACAATCCGTTTCCAATGGCCACCCGGTGCATCTCTGGTGCATCTCGGGTGCATCTCGGGTGCATCTAGCTCCTGCCGATTTTGCACTGCAGCGATTCCTTCTCCCTTTCTTTACCCTCTTTTCTTTTTTCCTCTCCTGCCGACTCCGCAATTTACACGGCGAACGAAACCCTCCTAGGAGGGGGGAGGGGGGAGGGGGGCACCCCTCCGGATCCTGCGGGATGCTTCTCGTAGCTGGGAGAATTTTATGGCCGCTGGGAATTTAACGATACGAATGCCTCTCGGGTATTAAGGCGCGCGCGCATAGAAACGCTCCTATTTCGCTCGTTACTCTTAAATGTAGCCATTCTGGAACATCAAGGCGATGCGGCGTGTCGGCGGGTGTCCACGTGGACGCTGAGATTTCCGGGAAAAAATTAAGATCCGCGATTGCTCTTTTCTTTTCCACGTCAATTTCTTCTCTCCGTTTCTGCCGATCGAACAACTCACTGTCTTTATTTTATTCCAACAAACGGAAAACAGAATGACAATTTCGAAACGTCAATCGGCTCACAGCTGTTTCCAAGTTGGCGGTCGAACACTGTTAAAATCGTGATATTTTGAGAATTTCGAGAGCCTGCTAAATATTTGGCGAACGATAACTCACCACTGGTTTGAAATAGAGCGACTTGTATCCAGTAAGAATTTTCGTAGAATCCCGATTTCAATAAAAAAAAAAAGACAGCAACTAAAAGCACACCTGTCAGAACTTAGCGACAACGTGCGACAGCACTAAAAAAAAAAAAAAAACCAACAAAGAAACCCGTTCCAATGATCAAACGTATTTCGAGAGCAATAAAGAAAGAAAAAAGTCCCAAACAAAGAGCGACAAATTCGCCGCCACTCGGACCGAATGTCATCATCGACTGTCCGGCGACAAGAGAAAGAAAAATGTAAAAAAAAAAAAGAAAAGAGAAAAAGTGGTCGAAAAACACAGAAGCTGCCCAGAAATAAAAAGCACACGATCGGATGGAAGCCAGAAGTCAATATCGCCACTTAGGATCGAAATAACAGGGCCATAGATTAGAAGAGCCGGGCACAGCGGACCCAAAAGTGGTCCCAGCCGCGATCATGCGTATTCGACGTGTGTGGCTCTCGTACTACGCCGAAAGAAAGAAGTCAACCAGACTAGCGGAGCGAACGAGTATTGTGGCTGGTAGTAAGTCCCAGATTGCCCGAGGGGCCTTACGAGTCCGAGAATAGCCGTCCTACACGTGAATAAGTATGTATGTATAACAGCGTCGGACGGGAGTCCCCATCGGGCCCACCGATCTACTTGTCCATTCAAGACTACAATGTATCCGCCGACTACGCACCCGTACATTTAAATACATATATATATACATACGTACGTACATACATAGCGGAGTATTCATTGAAGTAATGAAACAAAAAATAATAAAACAACGTCGATACCTACTTAGAGCCTATAACGTACTATACCAAATTCGATAACATCTACGACCATACTATAGTACGCCCGTACCCTAACCTACAGACTGTATCACCTTGGTAATACATTATCGCGCATCGTACAGGAATCAGAGTACAAACGATAAAGTAACACAGTACCCCACAGCCCATGGGTACTAACCTAACCCAACCCGACGCGGGGTACAAGCACACAACCTAACCCGTGGAGTTCGAGAACGCGTGGTAGGCATTCGCGGATCTAGAAAGATCCGTCCTTGGTAGTGGATATCGAGTGTACGCGGCGAGAGAGAGACGCACGCTCGGGTAGCACGAGGGGATGAAGAAGGAGAGAGAGAGAGAGAGAGAGAGAGGAAGAACGAACAAAAATGTCAGTAAAACGCGGGTTGGCGTGTAACGCGATTTCGCGCTGAATAACTAATGCGTAACGAGACTCGATGGGCTGTGGTGGAGATAGGGTCGAAAAAAAAAAGAAAAACAGCATGGTGAAAAATTAATAAAAGGGACGCAATTTTTTTTAAACCGATGATAAATAGCCGACAACTGCACCGAACCCCGTGCATTGAACCGAGGGGGCCCACGTTGGCCCGTCGAGTCCCTTACCCCTAACAGAGCAGCTCGACCCTCGAGCCTTAATCTGTATTCACCGGGTAATCGGTATTCACCGTATTTGGGCCTCACGTGAGAGTCAATCCGCCCGTCAGGAGGAACACGCGACGTCCGTCGAGGTTTGGCGAATTGGGCTTGGATGATGATGCCGAAAATGCCTATGCCGATCGATAGAGTGAGGTTAGGGGTAGCTTCGAGGGGTCAATAGGAAGATGTTATCCACGGAGCTACCCACGTGGTGAATGGGAGACCTCGAACGTTCGATATAGAATGTTCCGTATGGATATATAGATATACAGACGGAGTCAGTAGAGGAGTCCAGGGCGCCCATGCTAATAAGTGTAGCGTGGCTATCAGCTGATGTACCTGCCGGTTGACCACGTGTCGCGCCCACCGGACTGACTGGTAACGAGTGGAGCCATACACGAGTTACGTAAAAAAAGGAACGACCTAGTGGTACTCCTGTAGCCGGAGGATACCAGATCATTTTGCATTATCACGGTGCTCCTGGGAAACCGGCTAATCTCGGTGCGAATTGAGACGTAACGTCAACAGGCCCAGAAATCCTAAATGCACGATTAACGTGAGACGCGGTCGAAGAAAGTTTTTCCTGAAAGTCATCGGCTCCCGTACACGCCTGTATATATATATATATATATATATATATATATATATATATATATATATATATATACATGTCTGAGGCAGACAACGCGTACAGGCCAACGATCAAGTGAAACGAGCAGCAGAGTTCGATCGCGTGAGTTTTCGCGTCTCGCGCGAGTCTAAAACTAAAAATATGCGGCATGTTGCCAACAGGGAGTCGAACGAAGAGAGAAGCCGCTAAAGATTTTTGTATATAGAGCGCGAAGCGCGAGAGGAGCAGGAGAGGAAAGGCAGTGGAGAATTTAGAGATTTCGAGTAGGACGTCTTCTCCTTCCGAGTATAATTTATGCCGAGCGATTCGTGGACAGGAACTACATAGTCATTCTGGAGAGAGAGAGAGAGAGAGAGGGAGAGGGAGAGACGGTAAATGGCATAGCCGTGAGAAAAGGCGCGACTGTACACGTCGCGATGACTCCTGGACAATGACTGTACTGTCAGTGAGCGCATGGGTTCGCGTTGCCAATGTAAACTAATTATCCAGCCGGGAATATCCAGTGCGCTTGGCATAACGTAACGAGGCGAGGAGCGAGAAGGCGAAAAAAAAGAAGCACCGAGTACAAAAGTCGAATCATTCAAGACTAGACTCTGGGATTTGATTTCTTTGTAAATACCATCTTTGACGCATAACCCGAATACCCAGGCCTGGGCGTCCCTGTGTAATATTGGCCAATATGCGAGTCAGCCAGTCGCCCAAGTCGGGCCAGGCACACGACAGTGCGCAAGGGGCGCCATATGGGTTTGTAAATTTAACTCGGCGAGAGAGTCGACGAGAGAAGGAGAAAGTGGCGTGAGGGGAAGGGGGGGCGGCGGGAGAGAGAGAGAGAGAGCATAACGTAGGATCGCGGCACGTAGAGAACCAAGAGGATGGAAAGGGAGAGGAGAGGCCTCTGGCACAAAAGGCCTAGCCATCTGCCAGTGGCCCTGCAGAGTCTCGCATAGACACGGCCGACGTACCGGGATGGTGGTGCGTGGTGCGTGGTGCGTGGTGCGTGGTAGCGCAACGGCAACGGCAACGGCAACGGCAGGAGGGAGAGAAGACAAGTGCTTTGCCTGCTCTTTGCGCCATCTGCCATTCGGCCCTCTTTGTCCCTTGACTCCTCGTCCCTCCGCTCGGTCCGGCCTTCGTCTTTTTTTTGGCAATTTCGCCTAGCTTTTACTGGGAATCGAGAAACGTCTCTGACTGCGGACGCGCAACGCCGCCGCTTTGCGTGTCTATGGAGGTTACGGCTGTGACCTTGATATTTAATAGATAGACATACGTGAGTGTGTGTTACTTACCGGCCAGGTGAAGTCAAAGGGGAACCTGATGGGATTGGTGAAGCTCGGCAGAGCCGCGCCGGGGCTGAAATTGACGACGTTCTCGCCCAGCACGGGCGTCAGGACGTCCCCGTAGGTGCAGGGCGACGTCGTGTCGATCTTCACCTGGTACTGCTTCAGGCACACCCGAAAGCGCGTTTTACAAGCGCCGGAACAGTCGCCCGTCCTGGAGGTGGTGCCCGAGCAGCATTTGCCCAGGCTGTCCTTCCCGTACTCGTTCACGAAGGACTTTAACCTCAGTTCGAAGACACCCGAGGCGTCGACCTGCAAAATCACAAGGTCAAACGGGCACTTAGAGGCAGGAGCGAGAGGAGGCGGCGCGCCGAGCAAATTTCGAGAACCATGTACACGCGTGTGAGGTGAACTCATTGCGCATGCCAATAGGCCTCGCAACGTGCACCGTCCCTAAGAGGCGAGTGCACTGCTTAATGTGGCCACTCCTGCAAAATAGAACATGCACCGAGGAGCCCGGGGACCACACTACGAGACATTGCGTGGGGTCCGTTTAGCGTGTGTATATGCGTACGACTGTCTCTTAAAGGGAGACGAGAAAGAAGATGGGAGAAAAAAGGGCACGATCCTCCGGCGTGAAAGAAGTCCTCTTAAGAAGTCGAACGTTCGATTACGCAGTCGGGAAAATCGTCCCGAGGGAATCCTGGAAGCGCGACTTGGTAGAGATAAGAAGCGATCGGGGATAGAATTTCACGATTTCCGATTACGCGAATCTCCGACGTCTTAGGTTGTACGCGGTGTAGGCGCCTGTCTGCACAGATGTGACGTAGGGAAACGTAGAAACTCTCGAAGCGGAGGACACTGAATATGCGCGATCACGTTTTGACAGACGCGTGCAGCGGGGAACAAACACCTCGTGTGCGCGAATATCGGTATAGAAATATGGATGGGGACAGTGTGTTACGCACACGCGTCCCATGCGAAGAGAGTTCGTCTCCTCACCCGTTCCCACCCACTGTCAATGATGGATTCGCGCACGGAATAAACAAACGCCTCGATTTCGCCACTAGGGCGAAGCGGGGCGCTGCAGTCGCGGCACAACGGGCGGCGGCTAGAGTCCCTAGAGCGACTAGAGTCCAGGACGTCCAGGACGTCCAGGAGCGAGTCCCGATGTATTCCCGATTGCCTTTCCGGGCTCTATATACTCTTGCGAATGGATGAGATATAGCAGCATCGAGCTAACCTATATATCCGCATGCCAGATCGTCATGGCGGCGCGCGTGCGATCCTCGTGTTTACCTCAGCGACGATGCCCCCGTAAGCCATAGAAGAGCGAGTATACCTATAGGCATAACGGCGCACGTAAACGCACGCAACCCGGATAAAAGGCGTCCCGATTGACTTTTACTTGCCGGGACTCTATTCCGGGCATCGAATGGCTCACGCGTATTTATGGATACGACGTTATTTCGTCATAAAGGGTCCGCCGGGACGCCGATGCACGCGGAACCGGAGGAAGCGTGGACGCCGGGAGGTTCGCCCATCGGAAAACGTCCGACTGGAGGGACGAGTCGAAGAAATATTCACGGAATCGGGCCGAACGTTCCCAAACACTGCTGTGCCGCTTATTGAGTCTGACTTTAGGAAGTGAACGACGCGTCGCGACGTCACGTAGGAAGTTATAGGGTTTTCTAAAGGAGAAAAGGGCGTCTACGTAAACGCGCCAGACAATTCTAAAAAGAGTTCAAGCGCCGGATTTAGCCAGGATTTTTAGTGAATCCGCTGTTAGTTCACTTTCTTCCGCGGGAGATGCGCGCGCGAGAGAGAGAGAGAGAGAGAAACCCTCAGGAGAGAAACAGAGTCAGTACACAACTAGAATCTCAGCGTGGCACAATGTTAAAATGCGCAGAGACAAAAAGAGAAGACTCGTATCCTCTCCCAGGGAGAATCCAGTAGAGAGAAAAAAAAAAAAAAAAGAAAAACTACCAGAGAAAAGAAGTGGAAACAGTAGTATAGTAGTATATAGACTAGTGGAAGCAACTTCGAGCCAGTTCATCATATACACACTGTTCATCGTATACAGCAATATATACTGTCTGCCGTATCCTCCTCATCGGCAAACCGATGAGCTACCCTACCCTACGACTCACTGACTCACTAACAGACTGACTGACTTTGATTCCGGACCAAACGTTCGTGTCATTCATCGGAAACAGAGTCTCGCGCCTCGTTGCTAACCGACAACACTCGCGGGCCTGTCGGTTGACAGTGACTTCAGTTCTGAGAGCCGCCAGTTATTTACTCTGCGCCACGTTCCGTATAGAGAATAGAATTTGGAGTTCAGTATGCAAGTATGCGCACAGTGTGTATTGAGGCGGGAAATTTGAAATTGCAATATCTATCTTTGTTACACGAATTGAGAAGGAGCTTGACTGAGGTGGTAAACTCTTGTTTTTTTTTCTTAAATGTAATAATTGTAAGAACTTACCTCGCGCGATGGCGAGAGCACGACGGCCACGGAAAAGACGAGCATGGCAGTCCACATGTCGCGACAGTTGTTGCCAGCTGAATATTGGCAAACGAGAGTAGGAAGGGGGGCGTTTTTCAAAACGCCTGCTGAACTCTCGTGTCTCGGCTATCTCAGGTCGGAGGTTATGCCTGATCCGGATGACGTTACCTCCTAAGAGTAATGTTACGCGGCTGCATACTAGCCATAAGGTCAGCTGCGACGGAGGACTTGTCAAAGGATGACTTTAATAATCCCACCGACGATTTTCCTTGACACTTTGCGTCGTTTTATCAAATTTTGATTTTTCTCCTTATTATCCTTTCGGCTGCTCTCCTAGGCTGTTTCCTCTTATTTCCTCTTGGCTCCACTCCTCCTTCTTCCTTCCTTCCTTCCTTTACGCACTATTTTGACTTTGACACTCTCTTCATCTGGATTATACTTGCGGGCACGTCTTACATGCGGACGTAGTATGTCGACGTATCGTGAACTTCTGAGCACGGCGCGTCGTGAACAAAACAATAAGCCGACGCGGTAAATTTGATTGATAAATATAAAATTTCGCAATTTCGCAATTTCGCGTTAACAGACGGTAGTCACACTGCACACTTTGACAATACAATATAGAAACACTTTAATCCAAGATTTCCAGGGTGAGATGCGCTGAGTTGAACGGAGCGGTCGACGTCCTTTGGTTGAGATTGAAAAAGTAGCTCTTTCAAAGGTAGTACGATTAATAAACACAGTATTATGTATACACACTGTATCACCGGTAAGAACAACAATGGAGCAATGGAAGTGAGCCTTGAGGAATGAGCCGCAGGAGCGTCCTTTGAATTTTTGGCAGATCCTGTCGGTCCGTTGCTTTCAAAGTAAAATTGGACGACGAGCGGACGGACGTCTGGACGGAGATAAATATATACACGTGTGTGTATATATATATATTTAATAAATAGACCAGGTTACACAGTAAACATTAGACGGATGTTGCGTGGATGACGTTGTATCAGAACTGGACGCGTGTATCGAAACAGTTGAATGAACGTAGCTTCAATTAAGCCGGCTGGGATTCTTTAATCACACAGTGATGAGACGGTCGTCGCGACGCCAGGATATGTACACCGTATTACAATAATATCACCTTGGTAGCACGTCTTCTTGCGAGTTCGTTATGTGCCGGCGGACGCGTCACAGGCATTCTACGAAGCACCGATATAAACCTTCCTCGGGAGACTCCGTAACGTCGAGAGTAACGAGAGAGTGTTCTGTCGCAGCAGGGCGAAGCGGTGCCAGGAGTTTACCGACGACAAATATCAAGTTCCAAATGTTTGACACAAGTGATTGGAGAGCTGCGCGAGACTCGTCACCGGCGAGTGTAACTTTTGACAGTCGTAGAGAGTCCACGGGAACCTGGTGGAGCTTCCTCGTAGGTGCTCCGCGCCGTGTGGTTCCTGCTCGGCGGAGGGGACTCACTACTGTGGCACCGATTATATTGTAGTCAGGTCAGGTTATATGGCTCTCCTCCACAGCCGACTAGGTAGGGATGACGGCACCCGGGTAGTAGCACCCGGGAGTTCAGTCAAGGAAGAGGAGATTACGGTAAGCACGATAGTCACTACTCCGTAGCCGAGATACTACTGGCGCTGGATCACCGGCTAGAGTCGCCCTCTTTGCCTTGCGCCTCGGAATCCCTCTATTTCCTCCTTCGACTGTATATACTCCGTATGCGCTGTCTCGCTTCTCCTCTCTCTTTCCCTCCCTCTCTCGTGCAGTGGATCTCCGGCTGCCGTATAGCGCTACTCCATCAGAGTTCCTTCCTACGGACACAACGAGAGGCCGTAGCTCTTTGCTCTCCGATTCACTCGGGCAGGTACGATCGTCTCTTCTCGCTCTACCGAGGCTCACGTCGATATGACGCTCTCTTTACGACTCCACCGTATCCTCCTTCTATTTATTCTCCTTTGCTCTCTTGGCCAGTCGCTGCGCCTAGTATATCCCACCGCCAACAGGAGCGCGATCCGACGAGAACTTCTCTCGCGTGGTACACTGGCGCCACACTGCGGCCGATTTTCGCACTTTCACTCCCTGAGGGATAAACACGAACCGATAGATGCCGGTGGCGTTCCGCGAGTTTTCACCCAATTACAATACTTCAAAGGAGACACCAATTTTTTCGTTCGTATCTTCCTCGAAAAAAAAATCCAATTTTTCGTATATATCGAACACTCGATGACCGATAAAGTTTTTAAGTTATCGATAACGTGGGTTAGACGCACTCCGGATTTTTGATTGATTAAAAAAAGCGTGACCGGTGTGCTACTCTGATTTCAATAAAAAAAAGAGAGAGAGCGCAATAGTAGCGTGCACGCGCTTCGATACGTAACTTGGCGTGCGGTCTGTCCCGTACGCTTCGGAGTGCAACCCTCGACTGGAGGTTGCAGCCGGCAGCACCCCTACTTATAATAGTGGGTCCCCCGGCTATGGCGGCGCATAAGAGTGAGCCAGTCAGCCAGCCAGGGAGACGTGGGGCAGCTGCAGGCCGGCTGCACGCGCCCACCCCCACCACTCGACAAGCTCACCCCATTCACCCCTCCATTACCCCTACATGCGCCTCACCCCTCTCCCTCGGCACCCCGAACGACCGCTGCCCCTCCTCGCGATCCCCCACCCTGCGACACCGTGGCACGCGCCGCGTGCTTCCTTGTGACGTCACACGGTCCTCCTCTTATTTACTCATACACTTCTTTACCTTCTCGGCGCAGACCCTCCTAATTGTCTTTTCTCCTTTTCTCCTTTTTCTTCCTTTTCTTTTTTCACCTTTTCTTCTCGTCCCCCCTCCTGTACCCATCGCTTCGGTGTCCCTCTAATAGACTTTCGAAACCCCTTTTAACCTTACTCGATTATTACTCACCGGGAGTCTTCGTATTCCAGCTGGATAACTCGTTTTATGTAGATTTACTCGGTGTTATCCGTTGACGCAAAGAAATCAACACTTCCTGCTCGCTCTGTAGACGCGCATGCGCACCGATGACTTCCTGCGACACGAAAGACTCAATCCGATGCAGGTTGCCAGTGCGCATCGCTGTCTTTCACTGAACAGTCATGTGTATCAAGGATGATGTCCGAGTGCAGATTGGGAGCCAATGTCTCAAAACACGTCGGAACCTGTTTGCGAGATACCGCTCCGGCGCGCATGCGCAGTAGTTGTTCGGGAACAGCGCGCTACATCCGAAACTTATTTATCGCTACCACCTCTCTTCGTAACTCTTTTCCTTATTTTCTTTTTTCCTTTTCGGCACACAGAGTGGCATCGATCGCTCCCCGTTGGACTGCACTGCCGTGTAGGTGCCGGTTGCAAGGTCAGTGGGTGGGACCCATGCACTATGGGCCTGTTACGCTTCGCTGCATTTAGAATCATCGAAAATGCCAGACCGGCCTGGCCCCTGCGCCCCAAGTGCACCCCCTGCAACACCGTGACCCCATGGACGACACACACACCGGGTGACAGATTAATACGGTGCACACACGGCGCCCGCCATTGTACTCGCATAATGCACCGGACCTGTTTCGTACACTCCTAGATCCCTCGTCTACCTACCTTCACCCTATATAGTATATTACATCACATATAACTATATACATATATCTATAGACACGGGGTAGTGTCACCAAGAGAATCCCATTGTGCGATTTCAACCCTCCATGCATTTCACCGACAGACACCATAAATCGCTATAACCACGGCGCTATCGTCGAGCATTCCCGTGTGCGGTGCAACCTAACTGGATAAATGCGTAGAAACGAAATAAAAAAAAAAGTTAAAGAGAAAAAGACGGAAAAAAGTAGACAGGTAAGGGGCCACGTAATTCAACCTACAAGAATCAGTGCTACGCGTACGCCCCCTGTACACAAACGCAGCAATGTACCCAGCCGATAAGACCTCCAAGAGGCAAAAGGAAGCCATTGTTATTTTCCCCGTATAAAACACGGAGAGTCCCATGAGCGTGAAGTTTTAAGAGGGTGTACCGGTATATAGGATAGGGCCCATAGGTGTATGGTATACTTCCGGTCACGAGGTGGTTCAACAGGTCAGACCGACGGGGGAGCCAGATGGAACCACTTCCGGCCCTCGGAGCCCATCGCTTCCCTCATCACCCCTCATCGCCCCTCATCACCCCTCATCGCCCCTCATCGCCCCTCATCGGCCCCTTATGGCTTGCTGTTACGTATTTACTTCCCTTCTACCGTCGCGTCAGCGCTCGGCGCAACAACATTGCCTCCCCATACGCATATGCTGCTCCGCATTATATCCAATTAAAGCAATGTACCTGCTCGCTACCTCAATGCACATTCCTGCGCATTCCCATCTCCTCGATGCACCCTACCCCTACGTGTCCTATTATCGGTACCAGCATCGATTGGACTTCTACGTTCTTAAGCCACTATGGCCTTTGGCTCCATAATGCATTGCAGACTTATGCCAGTAGTCGTACCAGTCGTCTCTCTACCTCCACGTGGCCTAGGCCCATGCACGCATTTCTCCTACTTGCCTTCTTGACGATACCGTGTAGGCACGCTCTTGCGCCTACCTTACGAGGTTGCCCGACAAGTAAATCCGTCACGCGACTCGCTACGAACTTGGTTCATTCATACGTACGACCCTCTACGCACTTGCTGTCTCCTACTTGTGCTCGCTTACACGTTCCTTTTCCTCTCTCTTGCTCGCTTGCTCTCCATAGTCCGATTCTGCGGGATCCAACAAGGACGGGACTAGGTGCGTGAGACGGTTCGCTTTACGTTCTACTGTATGCGGGAAATACGTGTCTTCCGAAAGCTATCAGGTATGGGGCTGGTGGGGGGAGAGGCCTTCAATTTTTGAGCTTTATGGGCTTATTCATTAATGGTGTTTCCGAAGATTTTTCTGGGGCTGGAAAATAAGTTGGATTTTCTATCAGTGTATACATATAGGTATACGGTGGTGATATGAACTTGCTGCGAGGACTCTCTTGTCTTTCTTATAGTCAGCGAATCGGACTGTGTTTAACGTTCACAAGACTTCCTGGAGAAACAAATGGACCCCCTCAATTTCTGTCCCCTACCTGAGTGCTGCTGCTGTGTGCGTGGCTATGGTGTTTCGAGGGTGGTGTGTAGGTATTAATAAAGATATAACCTGGAGCCAAACGGGAAGCCAAAGCTGGGAAAGTAAACAGTGGGTTTGCTTGGGAGCCTTTCTACTGCCTGTACTATAGGTGCCGTGTGTATCGTGCTTTTTTATTTTTCTTCCCATTCGCGCCGAGGAACCAGCCAGAGTAGGCTGGAAGTGTGAGGATAACGTCCACCGCGTCTTGGTTTTGGGAATTTCGAGCAACTGCGCAAACAAGCGGGG